TATTCGTGAATAACTTGAAATTTAATGCATAAAAATGCATCAAAAATTTTTTTCCGTATAGCCACAGACTTTCTTTATTCAAAAATAAAAAAAAATTAAAGCCTAAAACTCGTGAACTTACTGATTTTTGAGTGTGGTGAAATTATTGGCTTGTAAAAAGGTGGTCACAGTGGACATAATATTAAAGATATTCTTAATCATCCAAAAACAACTATTCATGATATTACTGAAAGATATAAAGCAAATTAACAAACTAATATCATTTCTAGATCTGGTAAATCATCTAAATTAACAGAAAGAGACATTAGACATCTTGTAAAAATTATAAAAGAAGATTGACAATAATCTTTAAATGAAATAAAAGAAAAATTTAGTTAATCATTAATAATTTCAATAAGCTCTCATACTATTTAACATATTTTACATGATGAAGGATTTTATGGTTGAGTTGGAAAAAGAAAATCTTTAGTATCTGAAGAAAATCACAAAAAAATTAGAATGGCGCTATACTAGAAAAAATTGGGATTTAGAATGGAATATAGTAATCTGGAGAGATGAATCTTGCTTTTTATTGTTTCAAAATGACCTACATCATTAGATTTGATGACATCCACATGAAAAATAAGATATAAGTTGTCTAATTTCAACAGTAAAATCAGGAAATCAAGATATAATAGTATAGAGATGTTTTATAAAAAATAAGATTGGACCTTTGATTCAAGTTTCTAATAAAATTACAGGATCTATATATATTAAAGTCTTACAAAATAATATTTTACCATTTATTAATGAATTAGATAATAATTTAAATATATTTTTCAAGATGATAATGCTCCAGTTCATCGGACAAAAATAGTTAAACAATGATTAGAAAATAATTCAATAACAAATATTTTTTGACCTGCACAATTACCAGATCTTAATCCAATTAAGCATTTATGGGATATTTTAGAAAAAGGAGTTTATAAACATGTTTCCATTTAAAAAATCTTGTAGAATTAATGATTATTTTAGAAGAAGAATAGAATCAAATTGAATTAGAAAATTTAGAAAATTTAGCAAAAAGTATGCCAAGAAGAATTCAAGCTGTAATAGATAGTAATAGAGATCCAACAAAATGTTAATAGTATTAATAAAAAATTCAGATTTTTATGAACACATTAGTATAAATTTTATTAAAAGTTAATTAGTAAATTTTTTAATAATAATAAAACCAAAATCAACTTTAAATTTTAAAAATCGTGATGATCAACATGTGGTCGGATACTTTTGGCAGGTGAGTGTACATCACTCGAGGTGTCAATTTTGCTTCATATCTGATATTATTATAGTCTAATCTAAGTTATTTTTTGTTTATATAAACAAAAAATGACCCATTCGATTCTATCCTGGTGAACCTGATACTGTTTCAATAGTTTGGTATGTTAGGAATATTGCCTTAGGTTATAGTTAATTTATTATTTGTAAAGACTAATAATATCATGTTTGCGAATTAATTTTTTAATAAAAACTTATATTAAAAAAAAATCGCATTGTAAATAAAATTTGAAATATCTAATGAATAAAATAATAAATATACTAATAGAAGAGATATTTTCTAATATATTATTTTAAAAAATACTTATAACTCTTTTTTAATCAAACATTTAAAGAGAAACTTGTTAACAAAAGTCACATAAATGTTGAAATGTTTTTTTTTTTTAAAAAAAATAAATAAATAAATAAAAAATAAAATAAAAAAATAAAGAAATTAGGATTAATTTCGTTAATTAATTAGATCGGTTTTATAAAATCCCGAGTTTACAGAATAAACACTATTGTAAAAATGTTTCCTTTATAAAAGTTTACGTATTGTGCATGACAAACGAAAAGATTTATTCTAAAATAAGAAATTTTTTGCCATACCTGTTTAAAGAAGTATTTTTTTCGAAACTCGATTTAGGTAGACCGATCATAATGATCGTAATTAGGCAACTGATATTTTCAAAACACCAATGCGCTCTAAGGGGCATATTATCCGATAAGTAAAGCATGCAAGTTTCTATAAAGCATCTACCAAAAAGCTTTTAGATGTGGCATATCGAGTACTTGAAGAGTTTAGTGGGCATTTATCGTTAAAATGTAATACATAATCCGTGTATCAACTTTCGGGATCGGTACATAACGTACGATTGTACTATGTCAGATTTTCGTATGGCACATGCGCAACGGTAAATTAAGACCGAATTTTGTTATTATGGCAGAGATGCACCAAGCTTTTTTTATGCGTTAATGGCGAAAATAGTAAAATGCAGCTTTGCAAAAAAGAAAGATCATATTGTAAACAGTCATTCACGGTGTTTCGGAATCACCATATTTTGATCAGGGGTAGCCACAATGAATTCGAAAAATATTAATATAAGGTCGTAATTCTCATTCAATTTGCGTATTTTACAAAAAATTCAAATTCCGCATCTTTACCACCGTTAAAATTCAATATGACCGACTTTCAAAGAAAGAGAGATTGGTAATTTTATGAAAAAATTGTCACAACATTTGTATATATTTCTTTTCAAATTCAAATTCAATATCGATATAGGCCGTTATGTTGCCCATTGGTTCGTCATAATATTCAAGAAGATATTATTGAACGTGGTGCTCGCAGAATGATCCAATTGTCTTATAGGATATGGTTTTGTATGTTTCGAACCCGTGTTATAGAACTTATGTGAATTGATTCTGCGTACAAATACTCATTTTTTTTTTTAAATAAAAAAAAAATCATATCAACAGTTTACTTCATAATACTGGCGTTTATTATTGGAATAGTTGCTTTCACACCGACGACTTACTACAGGGATTCTGTAATTTTCGGGGAAATCTTGTTAATCTTGTCATATTTCGTACCGTGGCTTATTGGTGACTTTTTTTTTAGACATATGAATTTGTATCGTGGATTCAGGTATAGATTTTACTATTTTTATCTCTCATTCATCTATGTTCTTGCTTCTCACATTTACTGTATTAATAAATAGGGACGAATATAAAAATCGTTTCGTATATTTTTTCTTCGCTTCCACGATCAGTATCGCATTCAGTATATCATTGGAAGTCGGGTTGATTCACGCAAATGGAGGAATAGATTCCATGATAGATAACCTCATTGGTGAACATTATGTGATCGGTATACTAAACTTTATGTGCGCAGTGTTGATCCTAGTTCAAATTTTGATGCTCCTGAAATTGTTTTATGGGGTAACTATTAACACGTACATTACTGTGATAATTATATGGATTTTAATTTTCTACTTAATTATTTGACCTTCCTTTAATAAATTTAATTAGGTTTTGATTTATTTTCGAGCTAACAAAGAAGCGCTAGAACGGCTATTGAGGCCTAACCATGGGGGCTTGATATATACTGCTGTACATAACATTGAATAGTTATAGAATTCAAACCATTTGAACATGGTTATTTTTATTTGCACAAGCATAATTTCTCCTTGAAACGGGTTTTATCCTTTTAATGTTCCAAGAATTGTTATCACGTAATATATTGTAGGTATATTAGGGATAAACTATGCGATCAAACTAATACATAAATTACTTCTACATTAAACATCATAATTTTTCAAAGGAAAATTTTCAAAGTCGGTTATAGCTGATTTAAACAATTTGATTGATAAATGTATATCTTTAAAGTAATCAGTAAATTTAATTTCAAAAAGAATTTTCTTAAAATTTCATTACACGGATATTTTATGTGATGAGAATTCACACACATGTAACCAGATCTGTTATTACAATATGCACGATATACTACATACAGTTTACTAATTTTATTTTTCAAATGAAAGAAGCTCTACAATAACGGAAAAGGAAAGCAATTAGGTCGTGGTACAAAAACAAATTATTGCACCATAATCTATGATCGTCAACTTTTAGATATTTACGTATTATTGTCAAAGCGCCACGTGTTTATACGCAGCCATGTGATTGGTTGATTCTATGCGATCGCTCTCCTTATGTGAACTTGGCGAGGCGGGTTTCTATAATCAGTATATCGACAGCTCACGCAATGATGGAGAAAACGATGTTAGGCAAGGGCTTCTTTGCCAACGACCAAGCTCGAAGAAAACGGTTGATGATTTTGCAGTTTGTGGTGGAGTGTATACCCAGAAAAATATTGTCATTCGGTGTGATACTTGTTTTTAAAAATTTAACCTCTAAACCTATGACTTGCTGTCGGAATATATGTTTGCTTTCTTTCAATTATGATTATTATCAAAATAACAATAATGCTATAATTTTTTCTTTCTGTAAGCATCGAGTTTCGTAAAATAAGTAGATATTTTTTCGTCGAAGCAGTTGAATTAAAATTTCATTTATATACTGCACAGAGATCTATCTTTTTCGATGGGTTACGCTGTAGATTGTTACCTTTTAACTATGCGTATTTTGGTATTCCAGCTTCATTCGTAATTTTGCTGCCTCCGATTTTGGTGGATGGAGGGATTGAAGGTCGGTCATGAACCAGTTCAAGGTAGGTGACTTCTTCAAAAAAGTGTTTATTTTATTTCCATTAGATTATTTGTCAATTTATTTATGAGATTGTATTATGTTATGCTTAAATATTGAACGAACCTGGTCTTCTATAATGGGTATGACATCACTCGAGTTTTCACATTCAACAAATAATCAAAAAGTGTTTAGGCAAAGTTCAAGACCGAGGTCTCTTTCTTATTCCGCTGCTGAAAATTTGACGTGAATGACGCAATGAGTGGTTGTCGATCCAATATTTCCAAAAATGATTATTGCAGAATGTTCTAGTGCATTCTTATATGTAGTGTCGATCTTAATTCGCGAGTGTTGTCGATAATACTAGAATCTCGCTCGAAAAATGGTATAAATATGCCCATCGTACATGCCTTCTCACTTCAAATAACTTCAAAAAAATAAAAACCAGAAATAAAAACAACTCACAAGACGTTAATCCACTTAAAAACTATTTTCTAATAAAAATGTCGATTATTGGTTACGGTGGGGATAATTTTGGACGATTTGAATCTTCGATCTCTAATATGTTCGATGACTTCTTTAGAGATCTCAATACGGTCAGGCGTACTGGCGGTTTGACCACTAGGGGCAATCGACTTTCCAAGCCTTGGGTACCTCCGCTAGATGTTCACGAAACTGATTCGGAATACATCGTCAATGCCGAATTACCGGTAAGCATTCATGTGTGTGATTAATTGCTAGATTCACTCATACATAACAATAGATTATTAAATGGATTTTTTATATCGCGTTAATCAGGGAGTTAACAAAGAACAAATTAATGTTGACGTTCGCGAAAATGCCCTAGTAATTTCGGGCGAAACAAAACAAGATCAAAAGTATAAAGAGGGCAACACTCACATTCAAGAGCGTCGCTATGGTTCATTCTCTCGTGCGATCTCTCTCCCTCAAAACGCCAAGTCGGATGAGATCACGGCCAAATTTGAACAAGGTGTTCTTGAGGTGAAGATTCCTAAAGGGGAAGCTCCTGGTAGCAAGAAGATTAACGTTCAGTAAATTATTAGAATTTGAGATCATAATAAGCGTAGACTACATTGCATTGTATTATCATCACTTTCATGAATAGCACGTTAAAATAAATATCTCTTTTAATTGTATTATTATCTTCGAATAATCATGTGTCAAATATTCTTTACCAGGAAATTATTCATTAATGTTAACAGTTCTCCTGGTTTCGTTGACCCAATATTTTTTTCCTTTGTTCTTAATGTTTTTCTTTGTGACTTCTATATTTGTTTCTTTGCATTACTATTTTGTATAATTTTTTGCTAGAATATTCTCATTATTGTTGAGTTTTCCCAAGCTGCATTGACTTCTTGATTCTCTTGAACTCTTCTTTTTCGTTTATTTCATTTTTTTCAAAATTATATATATATATAAAAAAGATCTGTGGAAAGAGGTTTTTTTTTAAAAAAAAATAAAAGTTCGAAATATCTATTATAAGAAAAATATTTTATAAAGACTTTACTATTATATCCGTAGAAATGAAGAAATAGAAAGTTCCATAAACTCATTCAACAAGAAATTCTTCAAGAAGCAAAAGAAGAATAAATCTGAATGATTAATAGTTACTCTCATTGATATAGTCCACAATCACACTAAATATAAAATCAATAAGGAAATATAACAAATATTTACATTTACAACTACAAAACCTATAACTTCTCATCAGTAAAATAATAACCTAGAAGAGAAAATGAATAATTCAAATCAAAATCAAAATAGTGAAGGCAATCTTTACTTAGTATAAAGCTGATAATGATAAAATAAATAATATTATAAGAAAATATAATATCCAATTTCTGAGGTTTTATAATATATGTAACACTTCTAATAGCTTGGTAACATGAGCTACTAGATATATCAAGGTTTCAATTTATTTTATTTTTTTATTTTTTTATCCAAAAACATGTTATAATAATATATTTTTATAGACCTATGAGTTTATAGTACAGTAGTAATACTTTTAGATCACAATCACAAGGTTCAAAGTTCAATACCATCTGAGAATCAAATAAAAATACTATATATAATGAAACAATTCCATTGAATGGCAAGTTAATACTTGTTATTGAATGCATTCTTGACTATCTTATCAATATCTAAAATAAAAGAATCCACTGTAGCACAATGTTATCTATAGCTAATTTTATCAGATTAGATCAATCTATAGATATTGTAAATGATCAAAATTTTATCATTACCATGATAAAATGAAAAGGAATAAAACTGATCTTATAATCAACTGGAACAAAAATCAAATTGGTAAAGACACTGATGATCTTATCAATCAATAAAGAAGTTGTTAAATCAAAAAGGCTGAAGTCCTAAAAAGAGTAAATATTATATCAATAAGATGCATAAATATATAATAAAACTTGAACTCTTTCCACTAATTCTTTAATTACACACAAAAAAAAACATTTATAAAAAGTTGTAAACTTCTTAACTAACAAAGTCTTATTATTCTCCTTAAATTAACTTAAAGGGTACTTCAAGAGTCATTTACATTTTCTTCTTATTTTGTTTATATTCTCTTTTAACAAAAACTGGACTTCTGTAATCAAAAGTCGGAAAGATACTTTTCCTACTAATAGTAAGAAAATTCTAAAAAAAAGAAGAACTGATATTCTACTACTTATCTGGTATACAAAGAAACACTACAGAGTTATTTTGTAGTGAGAGAGTTATCTTTCTACTCTCTTCTTCACTATGTATACTCTAATAATACTCTTTTTCAATCTTTCCTAAGAAATTTTATTTACCTTAGTTTAATCCTGAATTTTAAGTGATACAAAGTTTCTTGTAACTAATTGGTTCAGTAAAATCACATCAGTAAAAAAATATAAACAAACTTCCATTGGTTACTTTATATATCTGAATACAATATATTTTCTCAGCTTCATAAGAACCTGATTCTAATCGAAATTATGTCATTCAGCAACTAAATTATTGCCGAATTTGATTAAATTTAATAATAAAAATATTGCCAAATTCTTTTTGATTGTCACCACTCATCATATTACTATTTTAGCAATAAAATGACAATAAAAAATTTGGCAATAAAAAATTGACCAAAAATTTTTAAAATTATAATTGTATAAACTATTTATTTTTATATATAAATATTTTAAGTTTAATTTTAAAAACAATATTATACCATTCAATTCTTTTTGCTAATTCTCTAATTATACACAAAAAAGATGTTCACATGAAGTTTTAATCTTCTATGCTAATAAAGTCTTATTACTTTCTTTAAATCAACTCAAAAAGTTTTCTAGAACTCCCTTACCTTCCTTCTCTCTTGTCTACAATCTCCTTTGAACAAACTGGACTCTTGTGACCTGCAAAATTCAGCTTCAACCTTTACTATCTATAGCAAAAAAGTTTTTAAAGAGAAAAGGATCAACAGTGAAATACTTCTCATCTCTTAGCAATAGTGGAGATAACAAAGGTTATGATCCAGTTAAAAGACTCATTCTTCTTCCCTTCAACTGGTATTATGGCCTCTTAGAGCTACTTTTTTCATGACTTTCTGGGAAATTTTGCCTATTTCAGCTTGATTTTGGAATTTCAGGTAGCACAGATCTCATCAATTCTGATTGGTTGATGCGAAACATATTGGACAAAATTGATAAACAAGCTCTTATTGGTCACCTTATATGTCTAAATGCATTTTTTTAACTCTATAAGAACCTGGAGTCTACCATAAGTTATAAAGTCTAGTGCAAATAAATATAGGACATGCCACTGACACATTATTGAGAACAAGAAAGAGTTCAATCTGAGTTACCTATTTCTAAGTGTATGTCAGATAAATTTTCACTTTTACTGCTTGAAAAAGTTCAACCAGAAAAAATAAAGAAGATAACCAGAAACACTCAGTGATAAAGCTAGTGCATATAGTAAATCAGGAAGTTTTCATCCTATTTTCAAAAACTCTCAAGCTAAAAGACTAAAAGGTTAATATCACTACATCAATCACAACTTGATTTCAAAAATATCAGCAATAACATGCAAGCTGCTAGATAATTTGGGAGGATCTTATTGATTACTAATACTAATAGCCATCAACAGAGTATGCCAATTGTGAGGCTAGATATAGTTCTTCTATAAAGAATTAAATCTGAAATACATTACATAGATGAGTAAGCATATCCATATTTAGATAGGAATATGTTTAATTAATAATATACTGGGAGACTTTCAAGTTATTCATGCAGACACCAATATATTACCTGGGCCTTCCTGATTACTTCTTTCTCACAAGTCTTAAAACTGTAAAATCTTCTTCTTTGATTCTGTCTTATTTCTATAAAGATTTAGTAAAAGTTTTCTCAGACCTTCATCAAAAAGAAAACTTAAAACAGAATAGACATTTGCTAAGGAACATTACAGTTACCCTTCAAAAATGATATATAACTGCTCCTTTCATTTTTCTTTTATTTTTTTTAATAACACTCACATGCTTAGTAGAATATAAGTTTTTTTTGTAAAAAAAGAGGGCAATAAGTCTCAAAGTAGCTATAGCTTATCAAATTCTTTATTCACTCTTGAATATACACTCTTGTATATATACCTTGTACAGTTATATAAAATATAATTTAGAAATTAATAAAGATTAGATATGAGCTTGTTTAAAAAAAAAAAAAACAATATTATACTTTCTTAATTATATTTAATTTATTTATATTTATTAGAATTATAATTAATTATTGTCCTTATTAATTGATTTAAAAAAATTATAAATTACTAAGTTTGAATAAAAAAGGAAACAATAAAATAAAGAGAAGATTAATTTGGATTTGTTTTAAAAAGTAATTAAATAAACAATTTTTTTTAAAAAAATTTTATCAAGTTAAAAAATTTTTCTAACTTCAACTTAAACCTTAAAAGAATTTTTTAATATATATCAAATTGAAATATTTAAAAAAATAAATAAATCTTGATTTTTATTTAATAAAACTTTGTTATTATTTAAAAAAGTTAATAAATATAAAAGTTAACAATCCACCTTATTTATCTTTTGTTTTTCAATATCATAAATATCTTCTTTTAAAACTTGTTATATTAGTGAAATACTATTTTTTAACTATTTTTTCAATTATTAATAATATTATTTTTTTATATTATAATCCTCTGTCAGGCTAGTTATATGTGCTTTATTAAACAATTGTAAACTATACATTATATATGTGATGCTAAAGTTAAATTTTTAACTAATTCACTCATCAAAGTCTTATATTTATCTAGGACTCTAAGTGCAACTTCGGAAGTAATTTATTACTTTGTTAGTAGTTTAGGTAAAAACCCTTCCAACTTTTAATATCATCACCCATAGGTCACTACTGTATATCACTGTATGATGTTCTGACAAGAATCAAAACCTCAACCACTTCATCTCATATCTAATTCTATTTCTTACAATTTCTATAAAGTTCTTGTTTTCACTCTCTTTCACTTCTTCTTTTTGTCTTATACTTTTATGACCAGGATTATCTTGCGGATCTTGCTTTCTTGCTTCCTGGGCCTTCTTATATTTTGCT